TTTTTTTTTTTTTTTTTTTTCTCAACACACAACTTAGCCTTGGAAAAGGCTACAGGAAAACCTGATTTGTAAGACTTCATTCTCAGAGTGCAGGAACATGAAATATTTGTGAAACATGCTGGACATTTTTCATTTGTCTCTGCTGACCCTTTCATGGGAAGCTAAACCCAAATGGCCACATTATCTTGGTTAACTTGGCTTTTGGTTTGCCGTAAATCCAAGCAATGGTAGGCCCTGCCAATAAGTGAAGAGGATGGTTCTTCTTACAGTGAGTATTTGGTAAAAAATGAATATTTTATATCATATCCTTTCTGCTCAGGTCACCAAATTCAAATAAATACACTCTACTTAATCCTTTAAACATCAGGCAGATAGCAATTTGTCAGTGCACATTTCACCACTCCCTTTTATTGCATTTCATATTTTTTTTTAAAACTTGACAAGCAGTCCTTTTGACGAATTTCCTTCGGTCACCTCTCAAGAGGGCTTTTGGTTTGCTTCTGAGAACCTGACTGTTACTCGGCACAATTACTGATTCAGTTTGACGGTGAAACAAAAATAACTTTGCAATTTTTCTGCTTGTAGGGCTTGCGTGCTCTACATTCCTGACACACTGCTTTTAGTTATAAGGATAAATGGCCCAAAGTTGTTGATGTGCAAAGGATCTCTTTTCTCATTATCGACAGTGTACTCACAAGATGTGACAGAAATAGTCCTCTACCCATTAAATAATTCGTGCCTCACGTCTTGTTACACTACTCAGACCAAAATGACATTTTTCAAGTCCAACCTTTACACCCACATGTGGACCTGCCATTGTGATATATTTTACTGACAGATTTTTAGCCTTCAAGTAGCAAGTATGTGTCATGCATACATACCCACTCCCTGTAAAGAACATAGCCACTATTGTACTACATACATATGCTAATAAAAAGTAAACATGGAGAGGAAAAAAACAAAGTAAATGGATTTCTCACCTTTTCTTTCCGTTTGCACTGGATAGAACTAAAGATTTCCAATGACTCCCAACGTAGAGGAAGGCCAGGTCTGCTTTGGATGAAAGCTTACGTACCAACCAAGATTGCTGGAGTCAAAATGCTATGTAAGTGAGTTTATAGTGTTAACTGATATGTTGAGGTTTACTAAGTACAGAACTTCGCATGATCCTCATTAATACAGAGCATATAAAATTTAGTAATAAAATCCCTTCCTAGCTTTCCTTATATCCTAATTAAAAATATAGAGTAAATAAATTTATTTAGTAATAAAAATCCCTTCCTAGCTTTCTTGTTTAAGAATGTGAATCAATCAACTCTGTGGTTTGCCCAGGATGAGCTGCTTCGCTTCCTCATTCTCTAAGTTGCATGTCTTTGCTTGGCCAACAGATGTGCCTGTTTTGCATGTGCATCCTTTTCATTTTAATGCTAAACCAGTGCTCAGGCCTTGAAATCGGCTACATTTTAGAAAGAAGAGCAATAAAATGTTTTATCACTGAGTATTTTGAGTGTCTTCTCCTTTAGCAAATTGTGCTCTGGCTTAAACTTTTAAAAATCACTTTCTGAAACTTCCACTTTCTGGATGAAAGTACATCGCTTCTGCCGATGGGGTCCATACGCAGCTTCCCACTACTGTGAAAAAGTAGCCAATTTCAGTTCTTTCACGAACTTTTCAACTTCTTCAACCTGTCCCAACCTCATGACAAGCTTCTTTATCTACTAAAACATCTCAGCTATGCACGAGGAAGAGTTATATACGTCTCTTCAGTGGGACAACCCGACATCAGATTCTTCTCAGAAATGTTTTCCTTCCACCAAAATTTCAGGTATCCAGTTTTAATTATTAGCTTATGTTTTGTTTCTTGTACAGTGAATCCAAGATGTTCCTTCTTCTCTGAATAACAGACTTAAAATATTGCAATATGATTGCCTGTTACAATAAAGGAAACAAAGTAGAAGTGGAAGTAAGGATGGAAAAGGGAAAGTGGGGCCAACTGGTGAAATAGGTGCTTCTCTTTCTTTTAAAGACAGTTGCTAGATTGGAAAATAATCAAAATAAATGAATAATGTAACAATTTTACAGTTTACATAGAATCTGTCAATTATCTGATAAGTACTCAGAAATAAAGAAAAAACAGGTTAAAACATAAAATCTCATTGTTCTGGAGCTGTTATCTATAGTTATGCCTGCATTGTTTAATGTCCATGTTTATACAGTTATGAGCATGAATACCGTGTATATCAATCATGTTCAAGTGAAACTGAAAAGATTTACAAGAAAGGATCCAGCACTCTTGTATTCAAAAGTTCAGTATCACTACAGGGTGATAATCCTTAAAAATTGTTCAAAAAAGTACATACAATGAGTTAATGGTATTGTGACACTCTGCCTATGTCCCAATCAGAGAAACATGTTGTTAAATCTGTTTTATTTTATATTTTCTTCATCAGATGCATCCTAACCTATAAATCTCATCAGAGTTTAAGCAAAGATTCTCTTATGCTGTTACAAATTGCAGCCTTGAACAATTCTTCAGTCGGAACCCTCAATGTTAAGGTCTTCTTTTCCTCAGTGTTATGGTATACCCACCCTCACCTGCCATGCCCTTTCCCCACCAAATTTCAGGGTTCTTATTGCATTTTTAGGAACCTGGTGTGCTGTGATGCTGATTTTCTGCATGGGCTTATTAGCAACGTCTATTTTCTTGGGAATCAAGGGTAAGTACAAAGGTATATCTTCAAAATAAATATTTATATGTGTTATGAAGGACACATAGTTGTACATGTACTTTTCCCTGTGCCATTACACATATAAAACCAGAATTTCAGAAATGGGCATGGTGGCACAGCCTGTAATCCCAGCACTCGGGAGGTTGAGACAGGTGGATTGCCGTGAGTTCAAGACCAGCCTGGAGGCTACCAAAAAATGAGCACCAGGCTGGCCTGAACTACACAGAGAGAACCTGTCTCAAAAAAAAAGACTTCAGAATTTATAAGTACATAAAACATAAATTAAGAGCTACCTGATTTCATCTAAATAATATAAAAAGGCTTCCCAATTTACATTATAAAATATTTATTTGATTTATCTCTCAGCACTTGATAACTTGCAATAAGAAATGACATGTTTTTAAACTCAAATCTAATATTATAGGTCATAAGTCTTTGGGAAAAACAATGCAATTTTTTTTCTTCATTTCCTTTTTGCCTGCATACTTAGTTAGGGCTTTCTGTGTGTTAAGAAAGTGCTTTGTCACTCACCTATATCATGACCCCATTAATTTTGTTCTGATTCAATTTGTAAGTCTTGTCAGTAGGCCAAAGCATGAACTTTAAAAGGTCTCAGAATATGCTCTTCTGGGGCTGGAAAGATAGCTCAGTGGACTAAGTGCCTGCTTTGGCAAGCACAGGAATGAGTGTTCGATCCTCAGTCCCACATGCTGTGCCAGCCCTGCCCCCAGGTGCACTGAGCCTGCAACCAAGTCTGGGCATGGTGGCGCACACCTGTAATCGCAACACTGGGGAGCCTGAAAGCAGGAGGATCACTACAAGTCTGAGCTGCATAGTGAGACCCTGTACCAAATACATAAATTTAAAAAATAAAAACAATATAGTTTTCTGTTTTTAATGTATGCTTTTTCTAAACATGACATTTTTGGGTTACCTTAATGTATTTCATTTTCCACTAGCCATGGTAAAAATGTAAATGTTTAGAGCAATCCCAAGAGCTTTGTTTGGGTCATATTTATATGCTTTATTCCACTTTTACATTTATACTGCTTTATTCCACTTAGTACAAATTGCAGACAATTGCCATGTCTGAGAAGTAAACATAATGTACATTTACTTTGATTTGAACATTATAAATATATATATATATATATTATTTATGTTCTTAATTAAAAGTCAAACTAGAAATAAAAATAAAGAAGAGACTTGTTTTATATTTTGTTATACTTTTCTTTGTTTTAGCATTTTGTCAAAAAATGTTATTTTCATTTTCAAGTTGTATATATTTACTAGCATTCTATTAACATATATATCATTAAAGTATGTTTTCAAAGTAGATTATGAAGAAAAAATGTTATATTCAATTATTTTCATGAAAACTTCCATTGTAAAAAAAAATTACAGTATCAAAATGTATATTTAAATGATACATTTATATATGTGGAATGTATATACATATACTTTTTTTAAATGTCAGGACATGTTTCAGACAAATGATAATGAATGAAAACCATACCTTTCTATTTAAAAACATGATAAGTCAGAATTATTTTATATAGTATGAAAACAACAAATATATATAGATACATATATATATATGTATATATATGGTTGTTAAGTATATAGAAGCATGCAAGGCATTAATTTAAAGAAATCTTTTAGAATAATTGTGACTGACATATGGATGTGGTTAATGTGGTTAATACAACATTTAGACTAAATAGACTAAACAATCATTTGTAAAAACCACTCTTTTGTAAAAACTACATGTCAAATAGATGTACATATGCATATATTTAATGAATATATGTAAACAGGGATTTCAGTGGATTCAACTGAGTAGTAATGATCAGTGCAGTGATTCACTGATTCATGAACATTTCTATTTGGGAACAATTTGGTTCCCAACAAAAATGTTTTACAGGGCCAGGGAGATGGCTAAGTAGAATAAGCACTTCTCTGGCAAGTGCAAGGGCCTGAGTTCAATCCCTCGTTCTGCCAAAAAAAAAAAAAAATGTTTTACAAAATTTTGTTTTTGTTTGCAAATTCTGCATTGGGTGACAACCACTGCCAACCACCGCAACGCAGCCCCTGCCCTCTGTATGCATACACACCAAGGTAGCCATAGTTCCAAGAGCTGTGGGACAAAACAAGTCCATGAACTGAGGTCCCGCTGTACTTGAAGGACAATTTTCAAGTTAACTAGACTTAACTTTCTTATTATTTTGCCTTTCCAGTTCTTCTATCGTATTACTTATGCCATTTTTAAAAAATAAACTCTTAGTTGACAGAGTGACTTGTTCCTATAATCCCAGCTATGTGGGAGACTGAGGCAGGACTGCAAGTTGGAAGTCAAACTGAGCAATTTAGCAAGATATTGTCTCAAAGTAAAATAAGATAAAATGGGCTGGGAGTGTAGTATATGGGAAAGCACTTGCCTAGTATGTGTGTGGTAAAGCCCCTACACACACACACACACACACACACACACACACACACACACACCCCTCTATAATAATGCAAAATATTTTCTAAAACATCAGGAAATTTGTCAAGTGTTTTTACTATTTGCTCCATTTGTATTTTTCTAATTCACCAATTAGATACAACGTGTGGTATCATAAAATAATTGTGTCTGTTATGTTTCTACAAGTAATTACATTGCTTAGTTTTTCTCCTTTATTGTAAATTGCTTACGACTTCCTCAGGTAAAGTATTTTGCTTCTTACTTAGGATGAATCTCCAAAGAGAAGTGTTATTTCCCTGTCTCCAGTTTTGTTACAGTTTCATACAGAACTACCTTTCAGAGAATAAAGATTAAAACAACAATACTTTCTAAAGAAAACAGTTACATCAAAATTTAAATATCTTAGGGCTGGGGAGATAGCTCAGCACTATAAGAACCTCCCTGGCAAGCACAAGGACCCAGGTTTGATCTCCAATACCACATGCTGTGCTGGCCCTGCGTCAAGCAGGCCAATGAAATCTGGAGTGGAGGCACACATCTGTAATCCCAGCACTAGGGAGGCTGAGATAGGAGGATCACTACAAGTCAAGCTATGTAGCAAGATCCTTTACCAAATAAATAAATAAATAAATAAATAAATAAATATTTTATAAACACTTTAAACTATATTTAAGGTTCTTAAAATGAAGATTATTATATTTTAATCTCTAAATGTTCAGTACTAGTAACAAGATGAGATTGATAATCTGATTTTACTAGTCTGTATAGTTTTGAACCTTTGCTAAGGAAAGAAAGAATAATCTCATCTGCTGACAAACTCTAGACAAAGTATTCACATGTGCTTTCTCTAGTTTGTGATTCCGAGTCCAATGTTGAGTCAATCAGAAGATGTCAAAATAACTAAATGTTTAACTATTCACTTGGAGCTGACCAGAAGTGGAGAAAGAGCAAAGGATTAAGATAAAAGGCTTTTTTTGGACACATAAATTATATTTGTCCCTTCCATGACAATATTCATTATGAAGAGCAGAACCGAAGAGTGGGGGCCTGGGAGATGGCTCAATGGAATAAGTGCATCCCTGGCAAGCTCAAGGGCCTGAGTTCAATCCCTAGTTCTAAAAAAAAAAAAAAAAGAAAGAAAAGAAAAGAAGCAAAGTGTGTCTATGTCTCCCTTTAAGGAGAATTATCTTGATTTTATGTGAACCAATATTAACTAATCCTCATTTCACTTACACTTCTCTAATAATCCAATAACATACAAGTCAACATGAGGAGAGTGGAGCTGGCGCCTGCAGAGGTGATGCACAGGCTCGGCAGATCTCCCCTGAGTTCCTCTTTAAACCTTGGTTACCTCCCTCTTCTGGCTAGAAAAAAAAAAATCATTTTATAGTTTTGCCTTTATTTTCCTGTTCCTCTAAGGGAACTGACTTGTACTTCTTATGATAAGGCAGAATGCCCAATACAGTCATTCCATTTGCTAATTAATTGATGCCATTCTCCCTTCCTGTATAATACGTGTATTTTCTACAACCTATTCATATTTTTATAACTTATTTATATTTTATATAATTCTGCATTAAGCAACTTCTGCATGGTAAGCAGAGACGGCACAACTTTTCAACCCAGAATACAAATACCCAACAATGTGTGCTGTTGTAAGCATACAACAATCAGCTGTACTTTTATATGTTAGCAATGGGCACCAAAAGTACAGTGACATTTATGTATGTCCAAAATTGAAATACATGGCATAAATCTAACAAAATACGTAGGCTAGTCATATACTGAAAACAACATAATGCTTTAAAAGAAATCAAAGATCTGAATAAGGAAAGTGATATGCCATGTTTGTGAATAGCGAACACTAACATGAGAAAGACATCAGCCTTCCTAAAATTAATATATTAAAAAAATCTTCCTTATTCAATGGTTGGTGGACATTGGGCTCTTTCCAAGATTTACAAACTGTACCACTATAAACATAGGTGTGGACATATCACTCTGCTATGATGCTTTTAATTCTTTCAGGAAGATGACAACTGTTATGGTTTGTGTCTAGTTGTCCCCCCAAAGCCTCATGCAGTTATGGGGTGGACTTCTAGAGTTTGTGATTAACTCATGATCCACTGGGATTATGGGTGTGAGTGGTGCTGGGATTATGGGTGTGGGTACTACTCCCAGCCTGGAAGATTTTTTTAATATATTAATTTTAGGACAGCCTGAATGCAACATATAGGTGATGGACTTGTTCTCTGTAGCCTTTGCTGCTGCTACTTCTCCATTTTGCTCTCTTGCTCTTTGCTGTCACCATGGCACTATCTGCCTTGTGCCACTGTGCCTTGGACCCAGCCGAGTACGGACTGAGACCTCCAGTAACTGTGAGCTAAATAAACCTTTCCTTCCTTCATTTTTGAGTGTCCAATATTTGTCCCAGAAATGAGAAAAGAATAACTGAGTCACGTCTAAGCACCTTCCTGGCAAGCACAAGGATCCAAATTTGATCCCCGGAACCTCATGCCATGCCTTCCACTGAAACAAGGGGTGGTGTGGCACACCTGTAATCCCAGAACTGGGGAGGCTGAGAGAGGAAGATCACTGTGAATCCCAGCTGCATTGCAAGACCTTGCATCCAACTAATAAATAAATACTTTTTTTAAAATGTACTTCCACCAGTGTAACATGTGTTGAAGCTGAGATTCTTTATGCACTCATTTTTGCAACACAGCGCGCCCTCACTTATTGCAGAGGTTATGTTCCAGCGACCCCCGCGATAAGTGAAAATTGGCGGCATAGCCACGTTGTTTCAGTATTTGTATATACTTTAAGGCTTTATAAACCCTTCCCACACTCTTGTAAACCTTTCCCCCACTTTTAAAAATACTTCTAATGTTCTTAACCATTTTCTAAACTTGTAAACCTACATAATTTTAACAACACAAGTGTACTGTACAGTACCGCAAAATCCTGCCACATAGTGAAAACCCCCACAATAATTTAGGGTTTTTTTTTTGTTTTGTTTTTTTTTTTGAAAACTGGCAAAACAGTGAGTCCACGAAGGTCGAAGTGCGAGAGACTACTCTGCAGAAACATTACAAATAACCAAAAAAAAACCCAGGAACATTCTGTAGAAAATTATGATACAGCACCACAGTGGAATTTTACATGATTATAAGGAAAGAATGGCAGAAAGTCTTGTATGTACTGATACTGAAATAGGACCAAAATTTATTTAAGGTAATAAGAGATACAGCACTACATGTACACATTTGTGTAAAGGCATGAGAGAGAACTCCAGATTCATTAATTTGTAAACTAAAATTATCTTTGGAAAAAATTTTAAAAATTGTTAAACCTCTTTTCTCTATGGGAAAGAAACTAGATAAATAAAGTGGGATGTCAGGGCCTGCAAGATAGCTCAGCAGACTAAGATGTCTGTTTAGGCAAGCTTAGCAAGCACAGGGACCACAGTTTGGTCCCAAGCATGCCGGATCACATGCCGCGCCAGCCCCACCTCCAGGGCACGCTGAGCCGGCCACAGAGTCGGGACACAGTGGTGCACTCCTCTAATCCCAGCTCTGGGGAAATTGAAAGCAGGAGGATCACTATAAGTCTGAGCTGTGTAGTGAGGCCCTGAAACAACCAACTACATTTTCTTAAAAAGGGATGGCAAGTAGGCTTTTTGCCCTATATTATTTGTATCACTTGATTCATAGAGCAGACGTTAAATAAAAATTTAAGTAATATAAGTTAAAGTCTCAAAGATAATCAGTATCCTATAGTTTTCCTTAGTCTGTGTTGTAGGATTATCTTCCTATGAAATTTCAGCATTTTCTGTAGAAGAATGTGATTGTCTTTAGTGTTCCAGGCATCTGCTACCATAATGAAGCAGGAAGAAAAACTCATCCAGCAAGACAGAGAGTTGTCAAACTTTACACAATGGAAGAAAACTCCTGACCTTCAGAGGAAATATCAGCAAACCTCAATGCCAAACTATTGCATTTCAGGTAATTACTAGGCATCAGTCCCAGCATGGAGATCTAAACACACGCACCAGTTTCTCTCAAGAAGCGTCATCACCCATTGTGTTATCTGAAAAATTTTTACTCAGGGTTTTCTAGCAGGGAGAGATAATGTCGATTATTTTTCAGTCATTCACATATTTTATTTTTAATATTTTATTTATTTGTTTATTTGGCACAGTGTCTCACTACACAGCTCAGACGCATAGTGATCCTCCTGTCTCAGCCTCCCCACCGTTGGGATAACAGGCCTGCGCATGGCGTGCCTGGAGTTTTGGAGCCACGCACGGCATGTGGGACTGGGGATCAAACTCGGGCCCTTGTGCTTGCCAGAAAGGTGCTTAAACTGCTGAGCTATCTCACCAGCCCCTTTCTCATATTTTAAATAGTGTATAGAAAACACTGAAGTTCCAAAAAAATACATCAAAGCAAAATACAATGAAAATACCAAGGTGAGATATGTGTTATTAGCAAATGAAATTTAAAAAGTAATATTTTATTTTATCCAGTCCTCCAACTGGAAGTGTATCTTTAATACTAGGTCCAAATTCCCTAGTATATTTAATCTAGATATTAGTTTAAGTTCAAGTTTAGATAATGTTTGAGCAGAAAGATGATGGTGAATTTAGAGCAAAATCATGCAATATTATGCAATACCATGTGTAATATTTATCTCTTCTAAAGCGTCTATGAAGTTAGAATTCTAAGATTAAAATTCCCCAATCTTATCTTTACAACATTTTAGGCCTAAAATAGTATTTCAGTCTTTGATATTTTTTGTCAAGTTGTCCATGGTTACTTAATGAACATTCAATAGTATTTACACATGAGTATTAAAATCCCTGTAATGGATCATTTGAATAATGTAAAGGAGAAATGAAAAAGTCTACCAAGGTCTGGGAAGATAGCTCAACTGTCTAAGTGCCTGTGTGACAAGCTCAAGGACCCAAGTTTGATGCCTGGCACAACATGCTGTGCAGGTCCGACAACCCCAGGAGCTCAGTGCTGACCCTGAAACCATGCATAGGTGGCGCATGCCTATAATCCCAGCTCTGAAGAGGCAGAGACCGGAAGATCACTACAAGTCTGAAATGTGTAGTGAGAACCTGTAGCAAAAAAAATAAATTAAAATTAAAAAAAGAGAAAAGATCTACCACAGTTACTTCTGACAGAAAATTGATCAAGTACTTGTTTTAAGAATCACTGTATGCTCAACAGTGTTTATAAATAGAACAGGCTGCTGTGTGCATGAGGTAGAGCCCCTTCAGAACCATCAACCTGGAGTCCCAAGACAGTATCCATTTTGGAGACCTAGGAATCCAATGTGTGCTCAAACTTCACGAACACCATTTTTAGTGCTATTTATGCTATAGCTTTCACAATGTTCAGGTTATTGATTAACATGGATTCCAAACAAGGAATACTGAAGAGCCTTCAACCTCTCAACATCTGGGCAGCAAAAATTATGAATGAATAATCTCACCCTAAACAGAGGGCCACGTCCTGAAAGCTACAGCTTTGGAACTTTCAGTTTATTTCCCTGCCTGAACTGGGCCACAACCTTGTGGTCAGGTCTGGCTCTTTTGTGCCCTTTTGTCTTTAGCCTTCTTTGTTTTACCTTTAAAGCAAGTTCCTTAAAACTTATTGCATATTAATACATTTCAATTGTATCAAAGTCCAAAATAAGCATGCTGCTCACTTACATTCTTTGAAATTATTTGATGTTTATGAGTACATGTTTGCCATATATAATGCTTACATTTATCATAGGGAGTTGATACATGTAGGTAACACATTTCAATTCCTCTTTGTCCCCTCCCATCATTTCTCTATGATCCAACCCTTGGTCTCCTTCCCATTTGCAAAAGCTCTATTTGTTTTTTTCTCAGTTCTTGTATTTTTTTCCCATTCTCTTTCCTTCACCCTCTTTCCTCCCCCTCCATCCACTTCTTGTTTCCCTTCCCATTTGAACAAAATCTGTTTACATCCTATTATCTGTCTTTTATTTTGTTCTTTATTTATATTTTGGGTTTATTATATAAAAGAAATTACATAATATTTACGCTTGTGTATCTGATTTATTTTACTCAATATTATGGACTCAGAGTGCATCCGCTTACCTAAGAAGACCTCTAGCTTATCCTTATTTGTGGCAGAGTAATACTACATTGAGAAGTATTACCAAATTTTCTTTATTCATTAAGCTGTCGATAGGGTATTTCTAACATTTAATTATTACAAATGTGATAACTTGTACATTAACATATTTGTGTTGTTATCATATTAGTATCCATGTGTCCCCATAATATGATACCTTTTAACTCTTTTAGGCATATCTAGAAGGGAAATATTTGGCTAAAAAGGTATTTCTAGTTTTATTTTTCTGAGGAACATTACGATGTATGGACTACTGTTCAACCCACCTAATGCTTCAGTATGTTTCCATCTAAATTGGGTCAGTAAGATTAACAGACATGAAACAGTAAAAAAACAAACAAACAAACAAACAAAGCAAGAGGAGAGTGTAAATGATGTAAATTTCAAGAAAAGAAAGATACAGAAGTGCTAAAATGCAGATCAATGTTTTATGTAAGATGAAGGATATGGGCAAACACACCTCCCAAATAATTCTAACTTGAATGAACTCTTTGAGAGCTGTAGTAGGTAACAATTATTATATAAATTGCTTTGCACCCACCCTTGGGAAGACTGGAATTGACACTACAGCACCACAGAGAACTTGCTAATGTTGTTAGAGACTTGAGCTTGGTTATTCTGGGTGGACTTACTATTGATACTTTACAACAATGATAATAAAGTAAGATGTTTATATTCAAAGCCTCTAGCTACAACCCTTGTCCACACAACTGGATTCAAAATGGAGAAAGTTGTTACTTTGTTTTTGAAAGCTGGAAAATTTGGCACTCTGCTAAAGAGGATTGTTTGAAGAAACGCTCCAATCTTCTACAAATAGATAGCAAAGAAGAAATGGTAAGCACTGTTTTATGGTCTTATTAGGGAAATACAAATACCATGTTTCTTATTAAAAGAAGGTAGATTCCCATCAGGTGCAATCCCTTATTATTCTGCAAAGGTTCACTAAAATATGGGTTTAAAAGATAAAAGGTAACTAGTATGGTTTATTTTTCTTTTAGTGAGACAAACAAAATGTAGGTCAGGCTTACAGAAATCAAGAAAAATGTATTGGGCCAGTGTCTTAAAAAGGAGGACAGAGTAAGAGGAATTTTAGTCTATGACACTTTAACCTACTATAAACTGTACCACATGATAACTATAGGTATGTTTTTCAATGTATAACTTTCCATATTATAGGGAAGTACAATAATTTGCAATAATTTTAATCAGCCAGAAAATACAGAAATATAAAACCTGTCATGAAGTTAACTGGTCCAATAAAAATAAATATTTGAAAAATGAATTTTTAATTGGCATTAAACCTAGTCTATCAATTCTTTTAACAAGTGAACAATATGATGTTTCCCTAAAGCTATTCCACCCATACATAAAGTACACCACAAAGCACAAGTGAATGCTTTTGATCCTGTGAAGAATACATAGCTGCTGTATTCAGTAATTAGTTCAAATTGATTTCTAAAAGAATAATAGGAAAACAATTAGTAAAAGATGTGCTTAAGAAAGACTGGAGCTCAATTTTTTAAGTTATAGGTTCATAAAATTATTTTCTCTTTGTAATAAAAAATATATGTATATACAAAATAGTATATATACATAGCTACTTGCTCTTAGTTCAATGAGAAGAAAGATTTGTACTAATATGGTTTAGACAAGAGATCATGTCTGCATCTTTTCTTCTGAATAACTACTATGAAGACAACAATATGAAACACATCATTTATTGTAACTGCCCTACTAACCTGTTTTGAAACTGTCTCATTGCTGTTTCTTTCTCATTAAAATTAATAAAAAATAGAATAAAATAAAATAAATAAATAAAATTATTTTCTTTTCAAATTTGATCATAGGGCCAGGGAGATAGCTCAACAGCACAAATGCCTGCCTGACAAGTGCAAGGTCCTGAGTTCAATCCCCAGTAGAAAAAAGAAAAATTTGATTATAGAAGTTAGAAATGTTTCTTCCAATAAAATAGTCATAGTTGAATTTCCCTGTAATGTAATCTCCTAAACTATTTCCCATATTGAAGTACAATGGGAAAGAGTGATATTTGTGATGTAGGATGTTAAGGATGTTTTTATTTCTGATAATAAACAGTATAACAATTTATCTTTGTTTTACAAGTTTTAGCTGTTGGACTCTGGATTTGTTAACAGGTGTGCTAATACCCAAGTCCTGTATTTTCCCTTGCTGTTAGCACCACATTGATCACACTGGAATAAAAAAGAATCTCTAAAATATATCCCCACATTTTTAATACCCTCTCTTTCTGATGCACACAAGTTTCCTTTAATTTCTGGCTAGCAAATTTCAAGTCTTTTAGTTCAGAGTGGTCTTGATCACTGTTCCTTTGAGTTCCCAATTCGTGGTTTATTTTTTACAGAATTTTATCAGCAGCAGCTTACAGAAAGTCAAACCCAGCTCTGATTACTGGGTGGGACTATCTCAGGACCAAGCTACCGGATGGTGGTTTTGGCATGATGACTCCTCTCCTCTTCCTGAACTGTAAGTCTAGAAGATGTTAAAAGAAAACTAGAAAATTAAGAGAATTCAGACATTTATTTTATTTTCTGCAGGATTTACAAATTCTTATCTGGAATCAATGCTAATACAAAGGAAAAGAAGCTTCACAGCTTCTAAATCTTCATCCCTTCAACCCTCTTTCTGTTGTACGCTAGACAATTCACACCCAACTCTGAGTGTCAGAGTATAAAATATGATATAATTATGAAGCACATTTTCTTGTATCACTTGATGAAGTGATCACTTAAGTACCACTGTGACAAAGAAATTTTAATCATTATTAAGAAATTTCTGTATTGAGCTTTTCAGCTAAAGCTAGAAAAACTGAGCAGAATCAAATGAATTAAGAATCTCTTGTATTTATATATGTCAATGATAGAGATATTTGTACTTACGCATTTATCATGTACATGTGTTTTGTTCTCATTATAAGCTACTTGTTATAATAATGTAGGATTATTGAGACAAAATAGCTATTATTGAACAAAGAAGATAAAAAACAGAAGGGTGCCATCTTAAGATAAACAAAGCTAGAAGCATCTGTCTTGAATCTCCCTCAAGGACATCCTTGTCTCCCTTGGTTCTAACCTCAGAAACTCTTCCTTGCCTTTCAAGGTTGCCAAAAAAGAAAGCTGAATCGATGAGCCCCCAAACCATTAGCCAGCTCTGCGGATACCTCACCCATAATTCCCTTTACGCTACTAGCTGCACCAGTTGGAAATATTTCATTTGTGAGAAAAAAGCACTAAGATCCTCGGTTTGAAGTCAGTTGTTCAAAGTAACATCTCATTCTTGTTGGTATTTGGCTCAAGCCCTTGGAAAACCTGACACAAAAAGAAAAAGAAAAACAACCTAACAGCAAATACAGAGATACACTGATATTTGTGGAGCTATGAAACCAACTTTTGGGGACTCATAACATGCTTTTGTATCTATACTTGGTAATATTTGTCAATATTTTCCCCCCTTTCAGTTACTATTATTCAAATTGCCAAGAATGACATTGATTTTAGAGTTACAAAAAAACAAATTCTGATACACTGAGAATAATGTAAAGAAAGTAGCTACAAATGCCACACAGAAATCTGACTGACTTTT